AATAACCCACTTCAAGCTTATAGGCAGGGAAGTGGAATTTTATTTATATGCATGTCTAATACATGTATATGACTAATACATGCATATAAATGCTTACTTTGCTCAAGCAAATGCAAAAATAATATTATCCTATAACTTTTTTTTAACCTAGCCTTGCTTTCTTTTTTTCTGAAGCAGTTGGAAAAATAAATAATGAACTATTTTATGACTATTTCTAGGTGTGACGGTATTTATTTTATTAATCAACAGAACAAGTGTTTATTTTATTATGAATATTTATAGATATTACAGTGTTAACACTATTTCTTTTAAAGTTTTATAATTCTAAATAGAAGAATAACTAGATTAATAGAAAAATACAAGTATTTTCAAATTGTAAAACCTGATTTTATCAAGTAGAATACAATGTCATTTCTTTTTTTTTTTTTTTTTTTTGAGACAGGGTCTCACTCTGTCAACAGGGCTCGAGTGCAGTGGTGTCATCATAGCTCACTGCAACCTCAAACTCCTGGGCTCAAATGATCCACCTGCCTCAGCCTCCCAGGTAGCTGGGACTATGGGCATGAGCCACCACACCTGGCTAATTTTTCTATTTTTTGTAGAGATAGGGTCTTGCTCTTGCTCAGGCTGGTCTTGAACTCCTGGTAATCCTCCCGCCTTGGCCTTCCAAAGTGCTAGGATTATAGACATGAGCCACTGTGTCTGGCTCACAATGTCAATTTTGTTGCCTAAGAACTAGTTAATGCATGATTTCCCTGCCATTGTTTTTTGTTTTTTCTTGTTATTTGTTACATCTTTGAAAACACAGCTCATAAACATTTTAAAATTGCTTATCTCTCCCATAGACCAAAAGTATATTTTTAGAATGTAGTTTTAGAATTTCATTAAGCAGTAAACTCATTCATCATAAAACATCATGCATTACTTATTTTAGAGGAAATACTGAACAGCTCATATCTTTTGCTTAAAAATAGGCTTTTTCTTTTTTTTCTTAAAGCAATTATCTTCTTTTCAGTCCAATTTTCTCTTCTCTGGTATTCAACAAGACTTCAGTTCCAATGAGTTTTTTTACTATGCTGATCATGAAATCATCCTACTTTTTTTTTCTATCTGCATCTAAAGCCATAGAATTTTAAATGTATTTTTTTGGTCAGAAGACATATTCATATATTCAGGGATAGTGAAGTCAATACACTAACTCGGTGATTGCTAAGAACAGGCTACTGTCACTGTTGAATGTAAGAGGCGGTGAAGTGGTTAGGAACATAAACTTGGAACCAGATTTCCTGATTTGAATTCCGGTTCTTGTATTTACTAACATGTGACCTTGGCCAACTCATTAACATCTCTGTGTCTCAGTTTTCTTGCCTGTGAAAAGGGGGATAATAATAATAATACCCACCTCATAAGGTTATTGTGAGAATTAAGTGGGTTAATCTATGTCAAGCCCTTAAAACTCTGCCTGGCTTAAAGTAAGCGTGGCATAGATATTTTTATTATTATCTTTAAATCTATTACTTTCCTTTGAAATCTTAACAAATTCAAAACAATTAATTCATAATCGAAGAATTTCTACAGTTTTTAATATGTAGCTAATGATGGCTCAACTCTGTTCAGAGAGCCTGGAAGCATTTTCTGTATGCTCTAAAGTTTCCTTCATCTTTTCTTTAATCTTTTATATGTTCAATTGCTCATCCAGTCATTCTTATTTATTGACCACTTATTATGGTGCTTGGGCAGTCATCAAGGAACAAACAGAAAAATTATCTGCTACCAAGGAGCTTATATTCAAATCTCAAAGGCAGGCCAACAAATGTTAACAGGGCATGTTTGATTAGAAACTTGCCTCATACCCCATCCCCCATTGTTCAAAACATCATTTTGAAGCAAATGTCTACTTTTCTCTTCACCAGTATGTTAAATAACTTATTAACTTATTAAATAACAACTTATTTTTACCTTTAAAAATCACTATGCTTATTTAAATGAAAAAGGTGGGAAAATTTGGTTTTGGAAATGGGTTTAGAGAAAATGGGTCAACATTCTTTTTTTCAGGGTTTTCTTTTTTTAAATGATGTAATTCAGGGATGTGTAAACATGTATACTTGGATACATGAATTTTTAACATTTTCATTATGAAAATGTTGAAATACGTACAAAAGCAGAGAGTGAAGCACATTAAACACCATGTGTTCCTTACCAGCTTCAACAATTATTAACATTTTACTAATATTGTTTCATCTATCCTACCTACTACCCCTCTCTTTTTTTTAAATTTCAGAATATTACAGGGGTACACAGACTTTGGTTACATCATTTGCTTTTGTACAGGTTGATTCAAAGTTGTAAGTGTGGCCTTAACTGAGATAATGTACATTGTACCCCTTAGGTGTGAATTTACCCCCCCCACACTTGATTTCCATTGAGCTTTACTTCCTCACATGCACATAAATGTTAATTGATTAGCTCCAGTTTAGTACTGAGTACATGTGGTGTTTGTTTTTCCATTCTTGTGATACTTCACTTAGGCTCAATGTTCTTAATTCACTTGCCTTTTCCCACTGATAGCATTAACCTATATTCTTATTAAAAAGTTTCATCATGACTGACTGTTGAAGCTGGGAAATTCAGCTTTAGTTGTTAGTTTACCAGAGGTTCTCAGAAGGCTCACACTTAAGACTGTGGGAAAGGATGCAGCTGAACAGTAATATATTAACAATATGTGTTGAAACATCAGTTCCTTGTTGACTGTATACAAAACACAAATTTCTAATCGTTCTCAACGGCACTACTTCCTCTGTGGATTATGTAGGAAATGCTTTAGTCTGAATAATCCTTCCCAGGGGAGGAAAGCCTTCAAAATAAATTCACTTTATAGAGCGTGTGTGTTACAGAGAAGAGGGTGGGAGAGGGAGAGAGAGAGAGAATGGGAGAGAGAGAGTCTGATTATTGCAGAATACTGAGTCAGTCATGCACATATGCCTAGTATAATTAAAGAACACAATTTGATGGTAGCAACAGTATTTAATTATATGAAATACTCTGTATGCTGTGTCTTGTCACCACATTGTTTAAAAATAAACTAATAGCAACAACGGACAGCTAATTGCAAAGGTTAAGGAAAACAATGGTGGGGGACTAGGCTTTCATAAAACAAAACAAAACTGAAAACCCTAATTACCAGGATAGTTGCAGAAGAAATATCACCGTTTTGATAGAATTATCTAGGCCCATAAAGACAAAGTGGGTTATTTGCCCTCAGTTATCTCAACATTTGGCTATACTCTTCTCCGGTTCATTTTGGTTTGGCGACATCCATAAAGTGAACCCTTAGTACTGGTAAAATGACACATTCCCAGAGTTCTCTTTAGTGGTTTTCAACCTGGAGCTGTCACATGTGGTATGTGTGGGAAGTGTGTGTATTTTTCAAACAATAACCTCCCTATACCCTACCCCTTTGTAATTTTTAAAAAGTTCTTCTGGTGAATTAGCCCATAGCCCAGCCACACACGTTCTCTCCTATCAAAAGCCACTTTTACGGACTGTGAATAGATAGAAGTTTCCAAAAGATCTGTTAGTATTCTGAAAGACTCAGTTAATTTTACATGAAAGCTCTTTCATCTTCATAGAAGTCTTTTTTTTTTTTTTAAATCAAGGTTGGCTCAGACTGAGAAAGACTTATCTGAACAAATGCAGTTTTACATGTGTATGGTAGTAAATACCTTAAGGGGAAAAGATGCAAGCTGTCAGTGTGCTGGCTGGGATGTGAAGAACTGAGATGTTTTCTAATGGGTTGAGGTGTGGGGTGAGCTAACTTTGGACGTGAGGATCGTTTCTTTAAAAAGAAGGACACACATAGACACATGCGCACACACACATACTCCTATGTAAAGTGGCAAGCTATCTCAAAGAGACATTAAGGTTATCCAGCACATCAGCTAAATATTGCAAGTATACAACTCTTAAAATATTAAGTCCATGCCTTTGCATATCTCCTTGGTCTTTTTTCAGTTTGCATGTCAAAAAGAGGGTATATTTGAACTGATAAATTGATCTCAGGAAGGGGGGGTGAACATTTATAATAGTGTTGGTGAAATTTTTGTCAGGGCCATATTCTAGTTTGTTAACCAAAAGTGCGCTCTCTCTCTCTCTCTCTTCCTGGGGTTTGTGTCTGCCTCCTCACTTTACCTGTGGCTGAAAGGACCTCTCTCAGTTCCCCTTACTGCTAATTTCACATATGTAATTAGCAGTCCCAAGGACTAGGTGGTTAAACACATATTTGTATATGAGTTTTAATCTTGGCAGATTCATATTCTTCTATGATATAGAAGTAAGCAAATAAAATATTATGAGACATTCTTCATGTTGGAGTTCAGGATAGAAGTGACCCTTCCCTGCCTGTGGAAACTGTAGGGTTAATGATGAAACAAGCCTGTCAACAGCCAGAGGTGTCTCAAGTCCTGGTTTTCCCGGAGTGTTCGTTCACCATGTGTTACTTTGAATGAATGACCTGAGTGAGAATGCTAACCTATTTCTTCTTAATCTTACTCCTTTCAAAATTATGTTATAGACATTCCTTTATGATAACTTTATTTTAATAACATTCAGGTACATAGGTGATCCAGTCTGATATGACCGGGTATGCGATCTAGCTATAAACATAATAATATGCCCCCATGTCAAAAGCTGTTGGAAATGATCTCTTACTGTGAATTTTCCCAACAGTTGTGATACACTTTTAAAAGCATTTTTTATTTCACAACGTTTATCTGACAGAGCCTAATTGAGAAGAATATTGCATTAGTAAATTGCTCTGCCCAGGACAACTGCTGCTCTGTTTCTTTTCAGATTTTAAAAGCTAAGTTACAAATCTCAGCCTGTAGTTAAGAGCTTCAAACAATAATTACCTCTGTGAAACGAGCAGAAGTCCTTAAAAGGGTCTGCCGATTTCCCCGCAATCTTTTACGGGGAGAGCAGTGCTCGCTGTATCCACTGATAACCCAGCTGCCTAGGAACTGAGTAAAGCCGGCTCCAAACTTCTCAGCTGTTGACAGGCTTGACTTGCTGAGAACACTGGTTAAATATAGCACGCGCGAGCTCAGCTCCTCAACAAAGTCATTGCTCTGACAGTGTCGTGAAGGGAGCAGAAGAGGAGAAACCTAATCTCAGAACCCAACAGCACCTAGCAACAGTTGAAAAAACTTTTAAACAAAAGTCTGGGTGGGAGATAGACAACAACTTCCAATTTCTGCTGATCGGGGATTTCAGGGAGAAGAAGCTGCTTTCCCCCCTCTCTACTCAGTTTCCTGCATGACTTCAGCAATTGGCTAGTCCTAGGAAAGAAAGTGGGAAAAGCTTTTTCCTCTGTATTCTTTTGGGCTGGATAGTTTTCCAGAACTCGAGCCTGTCTTGGGCTGTGGGACGAGCCACTGGGTTCTTCAAAGGATAAACTACCTCCATAGAGGACATACCCTTGGTTAAACCAGCTGCCGTCAGGTAAGACCAAAATAAATAGCTAACTTACTCTCAAGAAATTTCTGTTTCCACAAGGAGAGGGTTCTCTCTGATTCTGTTTCGTCTCTCTCCTTTGATTCTTCCTGTTCTACTGCGTGATAACACATGTAGAAATTATGATAATCATTGTGAATGATTTTAAAAAAAAGTCAGAAACATCATCTCTTTCTGAGAATTATGCTGATTTCTTTTTAAACACAGAGAATTTTACGATGTTTTAATAGCCATCAAAATATTTCTGCCAAGCTATCACTCTTCGGCAGGTACTAGAAATATGACAAAGGACAATTTTGCAGCTCTTTTCACATTGGGATGGCTAAGCAATAAAAAGGATATTTTCCCTGGAAGCAAAATAGCTTTCATTTATTGAAACTGGCTAAGCAGCTTGTGTGGTAAATGAGAGGAAAGTCCCGCATGATGTTGGTATCGCTGGACTTTTGACTTGCTGCTTTACATGTCTCCTTTTGCCTAATTCTCTGATTACACTGGTACACCTTGTGCTGGTTCTGACCTTGTTACACTATAGTCTCCCCAAATGCTTTTGACCAGGCACAAAATATGCCTGGTATTACATCTCTACTTTTACAGTTGTTAAATATAACTACTCAGGAGAATGTTATTTGTATTTTAAATAAATTGAGTAATTGCTTGTATTTAGATAGAACAACTTCTGTTTTTAAAAAACGTAAACAGAATAAATTAGGGAAAAAAATCCTTTCTTAAGTTGCATGTATATGGGCATGAATGTATTTACTATAGTGAGAAGGAAACCCTCTGATGGTCTCCCCTTCCATGAGTTGGCATGCAGTTTTATCAGAATTGTTTAGAATGATCAATATCTGACAGGTTGTGGTTGTACATTGGTGATATGGTTAATGTTGACACCTGATGATCTGTTGTTGGGCTGGATTTGCATAAAAAGTTTTTTTCTTTAAATGAACATGATAATTTGAATGCATATTCTAATCTAAGGATAATATCAAAGAATATACAGAAACACCTTTTATAAGAAATTATTTGAGTCTATTTTTGTCAATGTAAAGAATTTACCCAAGACCAGTTTTGAACAAATTGTTGACAAATAAGAATGTATCAACCTTTTCCAAAAATTTTCCTATTTTAAGAAAAACCGATTAAAACTTATGTATTGTATGTTCAGGAAAATGAAATAGGACCCACATATCAGTATGTATTATGTTTCATAATTCTGATTACTTGATAAGTTTACAAAGTAAATGAGCTAATGACATATATTGAATATGTACAAATAATAGTGCAAATGCACTTTGGTGACCTTGCTATTAGAGAATTAAACTCCTGGTGCTTTAGTGGAGATAAACTATCTTTGTCTTGAAAGAGTTTTGAAAAGTCAGAACTAAATGCTTTACATTTTTCTTGTTCTTATCCTAAGAAGGGTCACGTTGTTGGCTTACAAATATGTGTGTAAGGCCAAAATCTATCATTAGTCCTAGGCATGTAATTTCTTTTAAAGTCAGTGGACAGTATACAGATAACTAAGCATAGCATTTGGCCCTGTTTGCCATGTTTGCTGATGAAGTGTTTTTGAGTGTTTTTGAGTATTATTAATTTTCTTCATGGTTGTAAGTTTCCTTTTTTTTTTTTTTAAACACTAGAGATTGATACTGAGTAAGTTTCCTCTTAAAAATCAAGACCAGCTTAGGTGAAACCATGTGGTTTCCTCCACTATGTGAACAATCAGGCTTTCCACAACTATGCAGATCTGTTCACCTGTTCACTCAAGTTCACACCTCTGTGTTGTTTTGGAACCCTCTCTTTCTCTTTTGCCATGAGAAATGTTAGATTCCTTTGCCATGTCTTCCACCGCACTAAGGCCTATTCTCTTCAGCCTGCCTATTGTAACAGTACTTCTCCCCTCCCACCCTTAATTACCATCCATATCATCTTGCCCATGGCCACGAGATTAATTTTCCTAAAGCATTGCTATGTTTGTCTATCCATTCCTCAGTTATCTTCTGGGACTCCTACTTGCTGCCAAACACCTAGGCTGGGTATTTTGAAAATCTTCAGTTATCTGGCACCTACTTAACTTTTCTAGTCTTACTACCACTACTCCACAAGGTCCTTCCGTATACAGTGAACATTTTATTAATAATGCCCTACCTTTGCCCATATTATTCCCCTTGCCTGGAACACATTTTGTTCTCTCTTCCTATAGAAATCTTACCTACTCTTTAAGACCCAGAGCAGTGTCTTCCACTTTCACAGTGATTTTCTGAATCATACATTTTAGAAGTGATTCCTTCAGACAGTTTGATGTTCGGTTAGAATTAGGGTACTTTGGAGTAGGGTTTGCCCCATTAAATTCAAAACAATTATATGAAGCCTATTAGGTGCAAGGCAATAGCCAAAGCATCAATTGGCTTTAGAACTTCTCAGCTCCATGCACACTGTGGATGTTCTATTAACATTTGTGGCTCTAGATTTCTGATGATGAGTACATGAGAAAGTATGGATAAGTATAAAATCAAGAAAAGCAACTGTAAGCATGATTAACAGCTTTTTACCTCAAAAATTTTTCAAGGGAAGTCTTAAAAAAGTTTTGCCATGTACAGAAAAATGACAAGTAGTTTTACCCATACTCATGTACCTGATTGTGAAGATGATGTTGTATCGCTCAAGAATGAAATAGAAAGAAGGGGATATAATAAGACAGTATACACATATGCACATACGCACACGGTATATGCATGTCCTGTGTATGTACCTAGACCTCTAAATACCATAAGTCATACATTTTTTTTTTTTTTTTTGAGACAGAGTCTCACTTTGTTGCCCAGGCTAGAGTGAGTGCCGTGGCCTCAGCCTAGCTCACAGCAACCTCAAACTCCTGGGCTCAAGCAATCCTTCTGTCTCAGCCTCCCGAGTAGCTGGGACTACAGGCATGTGCTACCATGCCTGGCTAATTTTTTCTATATATATTAGTTGGCCAATTAATTTCTTTCTATTTATAGTAGAGACAGGGGTCTCGTTCTTGCTCAGGCCGGTTTCGAACTCCTGACCTCGAGGCCTAGGATTATAGGCATGAGCTGCCGTGCCCGGCCAGTCATACATTTTTATCATCTTTTGGTGCCAGATTCTTTTTATGGTTACCTTTGGTACAATTCATTTAAATTATGGCTCATTTTATTTGTGGGTGATGGGTTAGCATCTGGCCTTGAACATTCAAACATTTAAATATGTTACGATCCATTTTCTGTTCTTTTTCTCTAGATATTTAAAAAAAGAGACATTTCTAAGTATTATCTTTAATCACTCATGAAACCTGTAGCCTTACTGTATGAGATAAAGCATGAATCATACCTTTGAAGCAATCTATTTTGTATCCACCAAAAGAAAACATTCTCTTTATATTTTAAGATGGCCAAAAAAATTAACCTTACTTGTCTAAATGGGTGTTCAATAGGAATCATTATGGAATTTTAAAAATGAAATCTATGAAATAGTTAATATATTCATTAAACAATGGTTTCCCTTTGGTTATAATTTTTACTTACTTCTTTAGAAGTGAAACATTGGGGTTTACACATTTTATATAGTGCCACTGGTGTTTTTCTTTTTTGGCAGATGAGAACTTCTTCATAAAACAGCTGCCTTGAGATATATAATTTAACAGTTTGTTTAATTCCCATTGTCACTTATTAGTTTAATCTTATTTCTTTAAACTCGTGCATTTTAGGCAGCACCATGAGGAGTGAAGGGGCAAGCTAAGATTGAGATCTATTTCAATAGGAAGGTTTAAGAGAAAAAAGATTAATAACAACTTGTTAGAAAAGCCTGCAACACAAATTTTTTATAGAATAATTATTTTTAGTATATGAATATCATTAGAAAGATAAACTAATAAAAATACTTATTATTTCCTTAAAGAGAATTGAAGATATAACAAGGATATGTTCAAAAAAGAGGAGTCAAAAAAGCCTAGTGGCATAGGTAAACCAGATGGCCTGGATTCAGATTTCAGTTCAATGTGACCTTGGGCAAATTAATGCCTCAGTTTCCTCATCTATAAAATGAGGGTAATAGTGCTATTTCCTCATAGAGTTGTTTTGAAAATTAAATGACTTAATAAAATTTATAGTTTAAAATTTATTCTTGAATAAATGTAAGTTATTATGGCTTTAGTACCACTCCTTAAATGTAACTATTTGTTTACTTTAATCTTTGTTGCAAACAAAATTCTTAGATTCAGATAGTTTGCAAACTCAAGTTCATAGATCACAGGAAAAGCAGAAGAATGTATTGTTTAAATTTGGAATCCTGTTTGGGACACACTTTGCTGCTGGGTACTCTAAGCAGACATAGTTTGAATGGCAGCCAATAATTTAGTATGGAATTTATGTTTCAAACCCTCCCTTATCACTCAGCAGTCTGCTGTCTTATAGAACCATTAATAAAAAGCCTAAGAAATCACCCACAGCATGGACTGTCCTATGATTTCTATATTTGCACTTGGAGATAAAGTGTGTTTATACATAGTGCTTGGGCATCTCTTTTACAGCCAACTATACTGGGTAATGTATAACAATGGAGACTTCCTCCTCCATAGAAGGACACATTGTTAAATTTATCATTTTTTATTTCTTTCCATAGATGATTTGTTTTGTTTTACTAACCTAGTAACAGATAAAAATGAAAAGACCAAAAAAGGTCATCTAAAGCTAACTTCAACCTTAACAAATGGAAATGAATTCTTGCTATTCATTGTCTTTAATCCTATTCATTCTTCTTAAACAAAACAAGAAAAGTATATTCCAAGACAATCAAAAAATTGTTATAAAGATGTGCACATATACTCTGCTTAATATTCTGTATATTTAATTTAACTAGAATATGGAAAGCACTCTTATAAGTAGGGAAGTTTCTTAGTAGCTTTAGTGGTAACAAAGCTTATGCAGGACAAATATGATTTAGATCTGTTAATTTTACTTTATGTTTCTCAA